AATTCAAAATTTAAGATGATATATAAGTAAATGGGTTCAAAGACTAAATTGACTATGAAGACATTATTACTTCCAAATAAATACATATAAATTCAGTGGACTTTATCAAAAGACTTTTACAGTAGTAACATCAATTTGTATATAAATCAATTTAATTTATTTTAATAGCTACATGTATTTCTTAATATGAACAAGGTAGTTTCCTAACCATTTTATGAAAAGCAGTCTGGTGAAACAGTGTATTATTTTGATGATTATGTGTATTAAGTTTGTGCTTAAAAAGTTACTTCAGATTTCAGAATTTTGAATTATAAATGTTCAACTTGTACATAAAACTGCTTTACTCAAACATAGACCATGGGATCTAAATAGTAAAACTAGATTACGGACTATTTTTCCATGTAATAGTGCTACTTATCCATGTACTGGCCTTTTTATGGGTTCATGTCATGTTTGGGCTTCCCATGGTAGAGTTTCAGGGCCCAATCAGACCCGTATGCTCCATTTCTCTTAAGCTTTCCCAGTTCTGATGTCTTTTTACTCCTAGCTTGTCTGTCCAACCTCGTTTCCCAATTCCTAGACTGATGTCAGCTCCTTGATTGCTGGATTTCTGTCATCACCCATTTTATGTCTCATAGGGTTGTGCACCAAGAGCCACCCAGAAAAGCTTGGAGAATCTGTGCTGGGCTTGCTTTCTCAGATCCCTTCCCTGCATGGCAATACAGAATTTTCTTGGGATAGATGGCTTTCTCATGGTTTGGATACATGGCACTTCTTGAAAAAGACAGGAAGTTGGTGCTAGGTGTTGACTTATACTCCCAGAGAGAATATATTATATTTCTATTCCTCTCATCTTGAAAACAAATCTTTTATGTGACTGCTGATATTATTAAAATACCTTCTTGCTTATTTATTTTAATTATTTAATGATGGAAAATCAGTTAGGTGGGTGCTTAATACTTTGCTAAACACAAAAAACCTAAAATAGACAACCAGATACAGGTGACCAGAAAAAGAGTATAGTTTGAGAATCTTCAATCTGAAATCCAAAATGTTCCAAAATCTAAAATATTTTTAGTGTTAATCTGATATCAGATGCGGTAATAACCATACCTTATATTGTTTTATGCAAAAACAATTAAATATTCAGTAAAGTTATCTTCAAACTCTATGTAGATGGTATATTTGAAACAAATGAATTCTTTACATTCCTATTCCATACCCTGGGAAATCTCATTATTTATATACAGTTGTTAGTTATCAAAAAAACAAAACAAGACAACCCGAATCTGTAATACTTCTGCTCACAAACGTTCTGACTAAATGTGCTAGGGGTATACTTGAACCTTTTAACTTAGTTGTATGGCTTTCAAGTTTATCCCCTTAGCAGCCTACCTCCTATTTTCTAAGAAATAAGCTTTCTCAATTAAAATATTAGATTTACTTATCATAACTTACATATATATGTTTTGTTTTCATGTATGTACTGTATGTATACCACATGCATGTCTGGGTTCTGTAGAGGTCAGAAGAAGGTGCCATACTTCCTGGAACTGGAGTTCTAGGCAGTTGTGGGCTACAATATGGATGCTGGGAACCAAACCTGCGTCTTCTCTAAGAACAGCAAGTGCTTTTAAAACCACTGAACTGTACCATCTCTCTGGCACCAAATTGTCTCTCTAAAAACCAAGTGCATCATTTTTTCCAGAGGAAAAAAATGTAGGTTCACCTGTGCAGCATTTAAGACTCTTCATATCTGGTCCCAAGTCCCAAGTGTTCCCATTCTCTTGCATATTCTGTTATACACACAGTACATTTCTTACTGTTCTCTTCCATTTCTGTCCCCTTTGTGTACTGTACAGACCTCTGTCTTCATCACTTAGCAAACTCTCAATCAGTTCTGAACATTCAGTTCAAAGTTTCAGCGTCTCACTGGTTGGTCCTCGAATTTGCTATGTAGGTAGCTCAAGTTACCCTTGAACTTGTGCTCCTCCTGACTCAGCCTGCTGAGTGCCCCAGAACTCCCAACTTAGTTCAATGGTCTGTTAAGGGTTCCCTTTTGCCCCCTGCCTGTCCTGGATTTGAATACACTGCTTTGCAGCCTTGATTAGAGGGTAGTATTTTTGAGGACACTGGGTTTACCTTGTTTGTGTATATGAATCCTGATCTGAAAACGTCCTGGCAAGTAGTAGGGGCCCCATGAATTGCTAAATGAATGATGAGGTAAAGGAATAGGTCAAAAGGCTTGGCTGATTTAGGCTAAAGGGTTTTGAAAGTCACGGGGATTGCGGCTAGACCTAGGAAGACAGCACAGAAGTGGGGAAAGGGCACTTAGAGGATGAGGATGATTATTGTCCTAGGGGACAGAAGAATAAAGTCCAAGAATGAGAGCAGAGATAGTGAGGAGGTCAGCTGGGCCGTAGCTGACTGTTGCAATAGTTGACCTTGTAACTGTGCTGACTGTATTTCTCAAGTCCCTCTTTTGGCTCCCGGAGGGCAGGGTCATTTGTGCTCTCCGTTGTATGCCCTTCACACTTGATGCATATCTCCATAGTCATCGTTCCTACTATCTTCTGGTTACTCTGAAAAAATTCCGTGTAAGGGTGTTTTGCTTGCACGTATGTCTCTACACCATTGACATGTCTGGTGTCCGTGGATGACAGAAAAATGTGTCAGATTCCCTGGACCTGAAGTTATAGCTGGCTTTAAGCTACCACATGGGTGTTTGGGAACTGAACCTGGGTCTTCAGTGGCTGGGATCACTGAGCCATCTCTCCAGTCCCTACCTTTTATTTATTTACTTATTTGTTAAAACCGAGACAAGGTCTCCTAAATGGCTGAGCCTGGCCTGGAACTTGCTATGTGGCCCAAGCTGGCTTCAAACTCACAGTCCTCCCGCCTTAGTGACCAGACTGCTGAGATGATAGGGGGTGTGAACAGGCCTGTCTGGCCTTCTAGCTCCCACTCTGTTCTGCATTATCATATCTGTGCAGCGGCACAGCTCCCCATGCACACAGCCGCCTTCTCCAGGTACATAAGATAGGGCAGAAGGTCTTCCTGACCTTTGCGTCTTTTAAGACACAGAGTAGTACAGTTCCTAGCAAATACTGGATACACAGAGAGTATTTTTATCTACCATTTGTTGATCCGATTGCAGAAGACCACCAGGATATTTGTGCGCAATTGTGTATTGTGACACAAAACTTATATATGCCTTTATACTGTGTGGTCTATTTTTGGCAATTTTCATTAAAATGATATCTCATTGTACCTGAATACTGTCATTTCAATTTTCTTCTTTGTTCCTTCTTGGATGACTCATATCTCTTATACCAGAAGAATATGACAGAAGGGATTCACAAAGGGTTTGGACAGATTTCTGAATGACAGAGTCATAAATGTCTGGGTATAAGAAGTGTGGAACACGCAAAAGGGAAGTAAGAACTGGCATTTCTGAAATGTCTGTTCCATGCCACGGACTGTGTCTCAGGCACTTGACACACATCGCATCTCATTTCATCTTGCAGGATGAATCCATAGAAAGACAGAGCATCTCGATCCACAAGGCTAAACCTGCATCTGTTCTCACGCATAGCTTCTCCAGGTACCAAAGGCAATATTCGTGTTTATTAAAATTTTATCACTCTTTTAATACAGATGAATCATTAGATTTGCTTTTGTTTCTGAGGAACATAACACTCACTCTCAATTCAGACTTCTACAGCTTATGGCTGCTTTCTGACATAACCTGATCAGTTTTTAGAGTCCCGGAGCTCTAAATTACAATGCAATCTGAGATATTCCCACAGCAATAACAGCAATTACATTTGTTCACAGTACTTACCTTTATATTTCATTAAGCTTCCAAATACTGAATAAAGGTAAGTCAAGTCAAGAAAAGAGACTTCCATTAACCCTGACACTAGCAAATTGTCTCAAATTACAGCATGCCTTCTATTTGTATTCTAGACATATTGAGTGGTTTCTCTGAGTTACATATTATACCTTACCTATGGTTAGAAGAAAATTGGAAGCAAATTAGTTTAAGTTACTTCTAATTTAAAAAAAAATAATAGTGACTTCATAAAGCATAATGCTCTCAAGTATACAGCAATACATTTGGCAGAAATCATAACATTACAAGCAAAGCACTATCCCTCATCTTTGGGAAATAACTGGAAAAGGAGGGCTTCACAGACTGCTTTGTTACTTTAAGCTACACAGTCTAAGGTTTGTGGCTACATCTTCATCAGTGATAACATGCTCTCTGCCAGGGGGAGAAGTAGGTGGGAATCGATAGGGTACATAGATGGCATTCACCTTTGAATTACTGATTATTAGCACACCCACAGGTCCCAGACAGCTTTTATTGCTTGTTTTGAGAAAACTCAAACAGACATCTCTTCTTTGTAAAGGCCATCTCATATAACTAGAGAAAATGGCAACGGTTCAGCTGACATGTTTCACAGTTCGGATGGTCCAACTCCAATCTCTGTACCTCGAATTGCTGGAAACCCATCAGACCTGACTTTCTTAGAGACTATAGTTCCTGAACTCTATATTAGTCAAAGACAATTGAGAGAACAGGATGGCCACCAAAGAATATGTGTCACATCTCACCTATGGCACCCCTAAAATCAGACCAAAACCTAGCTTTTATATTTAAAAATGAGCCCCTTCCCTCTTGAGGCTAGGGGCTGAAAATATGCACATATTCCAAAGAGTTCTTTGTGGAACAGGTGACCCCTTCCCACAGTCTTTGTAATTAATTGAGAAATTAAAGTTGGTTGGCCTTTGAGAGCTTTTGTAAAAAAAAAAAAAGGCAGAAGGTCTTGGCTATTTTGGAACAAGAGTCCACTATTCTGCCAAAACAGTGTGTTATTGTTATTGAAGTGTCTCTCAACAGAACGGTATTGAGTCGTGAGGACGTGATTTTGATTAGGTGGAATGACTCAGCTCTTCCCCTTAAAGAAGAGAGGACTTGTCAGAGCCTTACTTACCTCATGATCTGGGATCTCAGAGGATAGTGTTTTCCCTAGGATGACCCCGGTCAAGTATGTCCAGCAACGAGCCGTATTGGCAAGGTTATAGCCTCCTGTCTCCATCAAGAATTGTGAAGTTAGGAAAGAATAGCCACAAAACAGGAGAGGGAAGAGGGTAAGGAAGGAGAGAAAACTGTTTTAATAAAAGTCTAAAAAGACAACTCCAACTTGCAGAATCTTCCTTAAGCATCCCTTAATGGTATTTGTCAACCACCTAGTGGGTAGACTTTAGCGGACTAGCCAGATCATGCATAGAGTAGAACTCACAATTTCAAGGGCAACACAGATTAAAGCGGCTCTTATCTCGCAGCAATATTGCACCTGAGAAAGGAAGCACCTCAGTTCCACCAAGAGACGTCAGGGAGACCGAGAACCCTGGAACCCAGATGTCTGGAGGTGACCTACCCAATGTGATGGGTTCTCAGATGAATTTTGCAACAATTCTATAAAGTGACTGCTGGCTGTGATTTGTATTTTAAAGCTATTGGCAGATCTAGTCCTAAAGGCATCCAGGAAAAAGGAAAGGAACGTGCTGACAGAAACAGACTTCCTTCTTTAAATATCAGCGGTCCTTTTCACCACAAAACGCAAGCCTGGTGGCAGAGATCAAAGAAAGTGAGCCGAGGAAGGGACTGATGATTGACACCCTGACCTGCCGCATCAGGTCCTGTCACAGTCACCCAGCAGCCATATTACACTGGTTAATAATCAGCATATTTTTGTGCTGAATGGATGTGCTTTGCCATGCAAGCATTAGCACGCTGGCCTTCAGCTGAATCCCAAGAGTCTAAGGGTAAAATGGAATATTTCCTAACCTTGGAGCAGACCACAGGAAATAAAATCAGCTCTATTTTAGGTAGGGTGCCCATATACATTATCATCCAAAAGGATGCACTTTGAAGCGCAATAGAGGACACTAGTCATTGTCACAACGGGCTAACATATATAAACTGGGACTTGCTGTTCCCCTTTTCTTGAGCTTTCCTACTATTTCAAAAGTTAGGGAGGCTAGGGTTTCTGGAGCGTGTCCTTCAGGCCTCAGTGGGGCCGGTCTGAGGAAGCTTAAGAATGCAGCCATCTCTGCTAACTGTCTATGTGTTAAGAGCAGAGAATTTCAGCTGTACGGTTTAGATATTACTTTAAACATTCCTGGCATGGGAAATTAGTCTGCAAGGCAGACCTATTTGGCATAGTTATTAATTTAACAAAGAATCACTATAGGTTTTATTTAAGGAGTATGATAGGACTTATCTGCAAACACGCCACTCATGCGCAGGCATTTTCAGGAATACACATATTGCATAAGACGAGTTATACTAACATACTCAAGAGCCAAGCTTTCGGTTAAAAAAGCAAAAGGATTTGAGCTAATGGTAAGACTCTTCAAGAGAAGGCTGTAGCCTCAGACAAAAGTTAAATTCTTCCAGGTGTCTGTTGGAGAAAGGTCTTTTCCCCCTAGCTGGACCTGTATCATAATCTCCATCCTTAGTGTTGTTATGGAAAGTAATATGCCATGTAATGCTTATCAATTTTATCTTTTTCTGGAGGTGAAGTTAATAAGCTTCTTGCCAGCTTTTCATAAGAGAGCGTCTCTTGTAATCAGTTTTAATTTTGATCCCTCTGAGGTTTGAAGACGCCAAAGGACCAGGTTGCTTTATTTGTGCTGTATGCTCACTTGTTGACCTAAGGCCTGCCCAGAGTTTACCTGGATTTGGAGTTTACAAGAGGGTGATAAAACTATTAGCTTGGTCATCATCTATGCATTTAATTTCTTTACAAAAATTTTATGTGCATGAGTATTTTGCTTCCATGTATGTACATATACCATGTATATGCTGGGTGCCCACAGGGGCCAGATGAGGGTATTAGATACCCTGTAACTGGAGTTACGAAGGGTTGAGCTGCCATTTGGGGGCTAGGAACCAAACCTTGACCCTTTGCCAAGAGCAGCAAGCGTCTGTAACCACTGAGAAATCTCTCTAGCCTACATATATGTACTCTTTTGGTACATTTTTGAGATAAGGTCTTGTGTAATCCACGATAGCTCATAACTCCCAATCCTCTCGATTCTGTTTCCCAAGTACTGTGATTATACACATGTGCCACTATACCTGGTGACATATATGTGCATTTTAATCTCAAGCCACTTGACCATATTTTAATACACTAATTTATTGATCCAATGAAATAAATATTGTGGCTGGTGAAGAGACAGACGATCTCATCCTAAAGCATCTATAAAGGTGACTGAGGTTGGGCACGGTTCCAAACACATCAATGCTTCTATCAAACAGACCTAGCATTCTGTTAGTTAAAGAACGTTAACATCAGTAAGAGGGGTGCAAGAATGCTCAAGAGACTATGGTTCTCTCAAGTTTGCTTCCTTATAACAAAATCATGCTTTAGGGGAAACAAGTAATTCTTGACTTCATCTTAGATATTCAATTAATTCATGTATTTACTATTCATGAATGAGTAGAGATAGAATTTCATTGATGTTTCTGAAACAGAATGGGTAAGAAGAGGATAATGGCTTCTCTGACAAGAGGGTTCACAGTCTTCGGGGACTGACATCTTCTATTATAATTTGAGATAATTTCTTCTTCCTTTTGGTTTTGGTTTTGTTGTTTCAGTTTTTTATTTTTCCAAGACAGGGTTCTCTGTATAGCACTAGCTATACTGACGCTCACTCTTTAGACCAGGCTGGCCTCAAAACTCACAGAAATCAGCCTACCTGTCTCTGCTTCCCAAGTGCTGGGATTAAAGGTGTGTGCCATTACTGTCTGGCTTCTTCTTTCTTATTCCATACTCAGGTTTGAACACAGTCTTGTGTATGCTAGGCAAATGTTCTAATCTTAACCTTTATTTCCAAATTAAAACAAACTTCAGAGTGCCTAGGTGTCAAAGCACATGGCAAGCTGACTAGGGATGGGCCAGAGTCTATGCTCAACTGGGGAAGTAATCGATTTCATAGACTTAGGCTTCTGGGCCATAGGCAGGTTAGTACTATCCAATCCAAAAAATCGACTTATCATCTATGCTAATAAGTGTGGAGGAGGACTGACAAGCTCTCTTGGTGACTTTCCATTGTACTCACCTCCTCCTAAAATCAGAGTTGCCAACTGCCACTCAAGCACATACTTCAGACACTTGCCGATCCCCACTGGCGTCATGTTAAAGGAGCACATTGGGTCCCCAGCGATGGTATCTGCACCCAGCTGTAAAACCACTGCTTTAGGATTGAAGGCCTGGTACACTTCCTTTAGTACACTGGGAAGAGGAAGGACACAAATTGTCAGAAAAAGATCCGCTTTAGTTAGGGCTATGCAGTGGTAGTGAAGTGTGTTGGAGGGATAGTTGAATTATCCATCACATCAAACTGTCGACCTTAAAGGGTGAGCCTGGCTGTATGTGTGTTATACTTTAATAAACCTGACTTAGAATGACAATTCCTCTACTTCCACCATCACCAGTGACCAAATTTGCCCTTTTTATTTCAGAACTTAGACTTCACTGAACACTTCATATATATCTAGTTAACTCTTATAGCCATGGGGCATAGTATACACATTTATTCCATTTTACAATTAGAGAAATAAAACATATACATTGAATAGTTATGAAGGTTTCCTTCTGATAATGTCAGACAGCAATCACACCTGGAGTTTATCACCTAATTATCAGTGGGGGCAAGAAGCCTTGAGAGCATAGATGGTATCAACTTACTTTTCATTCTGCAAAGGACTTGAGGCCTCTGAAATACGGCCCTTCCCAGTGCATATGCATTCACAGTATTATAAGAACAGTATCAACTGATCAAAAACTACAATTTGAAAGTACCCCAAAGAACAAGTTGTGGTGGGTAATAGTGTAATTTTGAGTAGAATCAATGCTATCACATCAGCCTAACTGCTATTTGCTGAGGGCATGCAGCCTTACAGATGAAAAGGGAAATGTCAGTGTGACAGGTAACCTTAGTCAGGCTTCCAATATTATCATTAATTGAACACTGACAATGTCCAGAATGCATTCCGAGGAATTATAAGGTCCTTGCTCTCAAGGGGCTTACAATCTACTTTCCAGACAAAACATAGTCCAGTCCTCAAGGGCCGGAGTGACTCTTACAGAGACATATAAACAAGTGCAAATTAACAGACTTCAGAGTTGAGAAAATACAGAGTCAAAAAGTGATCAAAAATGTTGAAGTTAATGACCCTTTCATAATCAACATGTCAAATTACACCAGTGCAGAAAAACAGAAAAATCCCAGATCCTCCTGAGATGGCAAAAGGAATTCAGGAACATAAAACACTGCCCTCCCCAATCCATATGTAACCAGGGAGTAAAATGATGGCCACAGAGGCATTCTTTGACTTAAAGGACTATTTTGTTTTGATTTCTCATCACACAGATGAATGCAGAGTGATTGTAAAGATTATAAGAATATTACAAAATTTATGACATATGATCCTTAATGCAAGGATTCTTTGGTCTATTCTCTCATTCATGTGCTTATCTCATGGGTGCAGAGGGAAGATAAGCCACCTGAAGAGTTTGGGCGACATTTATTGAGCATCTACACAAACAGAGCACCCCATTAACTGTTGCTGGGAGACACAGCGGAAGGCGTGATGTCTGTTTTAAAAAGGTTTCTAGCAGGGGAGGGCTACCATTCTTTCCACTCCTTCCTTTCACTTAGCACACACTTACTGAGTACCCACTAGGTGCCCAGAATGGTACTGGAGCAGATGCTCCAGGAGTCAAGAGGAATTTGGCATGGTCTGTATCATCATGTAGCTCATAAGAGGGGATTACATAAACTCTGACAATAAAGAATTAAAATGCAATGATAAATGAAGTATCAGAGTTTTGGCACATGGGAGAGAGAAGTGAGCGTCTCCAGGTGAGGCTGGAAAAGGCTCTACAGGGGCTATAATGGCTCTTTAGGTCCTGAAAGATGAGACGCACCACAGATGAGCCAACTCTCAAGATGGCTAGGAGGAAACAGTGATAATAATTCCTGGTGAAGATGTGGAGACTAAATCACACATATCTTGTTAGTGGGAATGTAAAATGGTATAGCCACTCTGGAAAATAATTTAGCAGTTCCTGTCAAAACTAAAAATAGACTTGCCATATGAGCTAGCAATTGCACTCTTGGGCAATTTATTCCAGAAAGTTAAGGCTGATTTTCATGTAGGAACTTGTACATGGATGTGTGTAGCATCTTTACACAAAATAGCTTTAACTGGAAAAAATCCAAACGTACTTTTTTAATAGGCAAATGGTTAAACAAACCAGCATCCATAGCAGTGGAATACTTTTCATCAATATGATAAACAAACCATTATTATATGCAAAGAGTTTGAGAGGATTACAGGAAAGTACGCTGAGTACATAAGGCCAATCTAATATATATATATATATACGTTTTATATATATATATAATAAGTGAGCCTGTGTGATTCCATTCATAAATGTTGTAAAATCCTAACTACAGAGGGATGAGATTAGTCACTGCCAGTAGTTATAGATGGCTATGATAGGACAGGGGTAGGATGACATAACCATGTGATGGCATAGTTCTCTATTTTGATTATAGTTGTCATGTGAGGCTTCAGATATGATAAAATTTCATAGACACAAATACATGAATGTATGCATAATTGGTGGAGTGTGAATGAAGTCAATAAACTATACCAAAATAATTTCTTCATTTTGATGATGTACTGTAACTGTGTGCAAGTTGTCACACCAGGGAAAGCTGGAGGAAAGTGCCCAGGACTTCCCTTCACAATCTCCTGTGAAGGTGTGATTATTTTGAAATAAATGTTTTGTTAAGGCCAGTGAGGTAGCCCAGTGGGTAAAGACGTTTGCAGCCAAGCCTGAGGACCTGAGTTCAATTCCCAGTTCCCACATAGTAGAAGAGAACCAACTCCTGAAAGTTGTCCTCTGACCTCTATAAGCAGTTATGGCACATGTGTGCTCCCCCAATACCATAAATAAATTTAATTAAAAAATTTAAAAATCTTTTTAAGGCATGGAAGGTAGCAGATATAAGACCTGAATTTGATCCCCAGAAATGATCAAACAAAAAGCACAGCAGAAAAAGGAAGTTGAAGGCTGGTGGGATAAAGTTAGGGGAGTTGGCTGCAGAATGGTTCTGGAGGGCACGAAGAGGAGAGGAGTTCGGAGAAGAGAATCTATGTGTCATACAGGCTACAAACTGCGAGTGGAGGTACAGAAAGTCAGACATAAGTGAGCCTGGCTTTTTATGTAAAGCGTGTGCAATGTTGCAAACATTATGTGCGTGCATGTACACAGGCAATGTGCATGCTGTGTGTGTTGGTGACACAATTAGAAGTTCATCTTAGATAAGTGAACTCTAGTGTGGAATACACTGAAGGCTGATTTTACAACCATCCACAGGCTACGGCCACAAGAAAGACAGGGACTTGAGAGGAACTTCCATGCCAGAATTAATAGAGCAACATGGAGCGATACCCAAGAAAAGAAGATACCTATAATGTTCATGACTGGTAATTAGGAGAGAGGAAGGGAAAGAAGGGAGGTGTTTCTGGAACAGTTGTCTTTCTTAGAGCTGTAGGGAAAATGAGTCTTCAGGGAGTTCAGATGAAATGGGCTCTGGATGGGTAAAGAAAACAGTAATCAGAAGCTTTGAAAAAGGGAAGGCATTTCGTACACTGAACACACCTCAGTTTACGGAAAGCTGGATGGTGGACATGGAAAACTAGGCAGCTTTTCATCTGATCTGACGGTCAAATGGGAGCCCTGGAGATCTATAAGTACTGATCTTGCTAAAAGTTGTACTGATTTTTGATGTTGCATGTAAGAACAAAATCACAAAGCCTAGCAGCAGAGGGAATGGCACAAGGGACATGGAAGCTCTCTAGGCAAGACCAGGTCAGTCAGAAAAAACTTGAGAGGGGTAGGCAGATGGCTAGGGGTAAGAGGGACTGTGAATGGGGCTATGTGGACAAATTACCATTTCCAAGTTCATACCCCTCCTCTCATTGCTTGTCTTTTGGTGTGGGATACACACACACACACACACACGCTGTTTGTTTGGTTTGGTTTTTTAAGATATGGTCTCACTATGTAGCCCAGGCTGGTCTAGGAACTTCCTGCTTTAGCTTCCCAAGCACTGAAATTATAGGCTTGTGCCAGTATGCCTGCCCTCATATCTCCACTTTGAAGTCAACATCATTTGCTTACATTAAACAAATACTATTAAAATTCCTGTCTATAGACCTATGAAATAGTCTTTCACCCCCTTGAGGCTTTTAGCTTCTGCTTCATTTTTTTTATTACTTTTTTCTTTCCTTGTCATTATTCTCTGGGGTTCAGGATTTGTTCACTCACTTAAACCCAGAGTCAAGTACCTATTATTTCCTATACTAGTGATAACATATACTTCTAACCCTAATACACAGGAAACTGAAGCAAGAGGATTGCCCAATATTTCAGGCCAACCTGGGCTACCAGTGAATTAGCAGGTTAGCTGCAACTTCACAGTGAGACCCCTGTCTCCCAAAACCAACAGGGGTAAAAAGAAGACAGGCAAAGACCTAAACCTGATGGTGTTGATGGTTCAGTAGGGGTAGAAGACAGGAAAGTTCAAAACACTGTTAAGTGCTATAATGTTTGTCCATCCGTCCGTCCGTTCATCCAACAAATGAATGCTAATTGAATGCTTACTATATGCTAGGCAGGTACAAGGTTGGCAATGGGTTTACAGAGTTGAAAAAAAAAAAAGACAAAACCTACCTCACTGTCTCCAAGGACTGTCCTAATTCTCTGACATTATCTTTCATTCTGGTTTCAACAAGAGTGGTGTCTGTCTGCACTGCACTTTAGTTATTCCTAAGCACGGCCACTTTTGGAGGTTTGAAAAGCAAATGCTTGGAACGATTTTACATTTAAGACGCTGAACGACTTTCATTGCTACAGTTTTTTGTCTTCCCATGTCCTTATTGTGCTTGCTTTCCCTCGTCCTCCCTCCTCCTCCTCCTCTTCCTCCTTCCTTTCTCTCTCTCTCTCTCTCTCTCTCTCTCTCTCTCTCTCTCTCTCTCTCTCTCTCTCTCTGTTTTTCAATCTATGTTTTCTCTGTGTAACAGCCTTCTCTGTCCTGGAACTCACGCTGTAGATCTGGCAGGTCTGTAACTGACAGAGTCACACTGCTTGGTTTGTGCTTGCTCTTTATTCGAGTTAAAACTGATTTCTGGCGTGGCGGTGGTGGTACACCCTTT